GCCCCCATATGGGTTTCACACTCAGATGCTTTCCTTCACCTCGGACCCTAATGAATTGTCAGAACCAAACATGCCTTCCTCTCTCGAGATGACCTCTGATTATAATCGCACACCGTACTAGCGTAGCTCACTATTTCTCCTCGCCACCACCAACCCGACATGGTGAGCAGACCGTGACCACTGTGTTACTGGGGGCCCTTTCAACGAAGCTGAAAGAGGGAGATATTGCTAAAAGGTGGGGGAGGCTTTGGGTAGACCCGACTACCAGCGGAGACCAACCCACTCCAGGCCCACTGACAACACTCCGAGAACCCCTTTGAGTCAACACCCCTTGCCGGGTGGAACCTATAATGCCAGGTTGGTAACATGACTTTTAGACTGATGCAGAAATCCCCGTTATAAATAAGCTGAATTTGAGTTCCGATTTACATATATTTTAGGTGTACAGCTCAAAGTAAGCCTGAATGCGCCACATGGACAATTGCAAACAAGGGTATCTCATAAGGAACCTTTGGCCCTCCCAATGTTGCTGAACTCCAACTACCACCCACCCCTGGCCATTGGCTGTGCTTGCTAGACTGATGGGAGCTGCTGTTCAGCATCTAGAGGGCCAACATTTCCCCTCTCCTGCTCTAGGGTATGCTCTCCTGAGACCATCGTTGGCTGCACCTTCATACTGAATGGACAATCTATTGCATTCCAAATTTGAGATTGTCGTGTTTTGAATAACACTTGTGAGGGCAATTAAGCCATTTGCCAAATTGCACTGGCTGGTTTTCTTGTTGCTATTTCCTTTGCAACTGCTTAATGATGCCTGCTTGATTTTCTCCCTCCCACCCCTTTAGTGTGTTGGAGTCCTAAAGGAAAGCAGCTGGCTGTAGGCAAGCAGAATGGCACAGTGGTCCAGTATCTCCCTGTAAGTCTGTTTGTTCTATTTGGGCTGTAATGATCTGCCGCCTCCTGCTTCTCCCTCTTGGTTGTTTCCTGTTTTGTTCTCCCAATTCAAAGTTCAGAAGATGGAGTCATAAGTATAAGGCTAGCAGAAGTACATGCCTGGGAACGGCTGTAGTCTGGAGCTTGAGCATCCATTTTGCATGCAGTAGGCCCCAGGTTCAGTCACCTGCACCTCCAGGTAGAATGAGAATTTTGCTTTTGTAAAGTAAGCTAGTTTTTTCATGCCTGCACATTCCTCTCTATTCACCATCCAGGCAATCAAGAAGTTTAGGAGCACAAGGCTGCATATGCACCATGCATTTAAAACACATGATTTCTTCCCCCCTTCCCCAAGGAACTGTGGCTCTGTTGGGGTAAACGGTGGTTCTAAGGATTCTTAGCGATAAGCCATGTGCTATGAATGCATGGCTCTGCACCTGTCATATTCAAGCCAGGCAAAAACACAAAGGGGGAAAGAGGGCTAGTAAGGGGTGTGGCTTGGGGTGAACCCTGAGGACAAAATAGAGGCTTGTAGGACTGCATTTGGTCCCTGGGCCTAAGATTAATTAATTTTCTTTCATTTTATTTGTTTACCGCGCTTCTACAAAAAAAATCATGCTCAAAGCAGCTTACAACAAAGAAACAGGAATGCGTTTCAAACAAACACTACAAAAACCTTCATAACACAGCACTACAAAAATATAATATACCAAAAACCCACATTTCAGTACTAGAAATATAACATGCAGCATGCAATAGCAAAAACAACAAAGAAACTTCATAGTTTCACCTTAGTCCTAGAAACACCACTCCTATGATGTTGCTTACAATCCCTCTCCTGTAGCAGCAGCTTATAAGGCTTCCAAGGGCAAAGGATGGGGTTCCTGGAAACAACTCTCCCATGATGATGTTCATCTCTGATATAGGTGAATTGGGACCATGCCCATAATTAAGCCGGAGGTCACATGGCTTTGATGCAAAAGAGTGCCCACATTTGACTGCCAACAATCTTTCCTTAGAGGGATCTTCGGCTACAAAATGCCTGTGCCTGAAATCTTGGAGCATTGCTCCCATTGAGAACGGATTAGGGATAGGGAACTCATAGCCCTCCAGCTGTTGTTTTATTCCATGGGTAGGCAAACGAAGGCCTGGGGGCCGGATCTGGCCCAATCGCCTTCTAAATCCAGCCCGCGGATGGTCCAGGAATCAGCGTGTTTTTACTGTCCTTTTATTTAAAATGCATCTCTGGGTTATTTGTGGGGCCTGCCTGGTGTAGAATGTGTGCTTTTATTTAAAATGCATCTCTGGGTTATTTGTGGGGCCTGCCTGGTGTAGAATGTGTGCTTTTATTTAAAATGCATCTCTGGGTTATTTGTGGGGCCTGCCTGGTGTAGAATGTGTGCTTTTATTTAAAATGCATCTCTGGGTTATTTGTGGGGCCTGCCTGGTGTAGAATGTGTGATTTTATTTAAAATGCATCTCTGGGTTATTTGTGGGGCACAGGAATTTGTTCATTTCCTGCCCCCCTCAAGGTCTGAGGGACAGTGGACTGGCCCCTTGCTAAAAAGGTTTGCCGACCCCTGTTGTATTCCATCAGCTCCCATCTAGCATGGCCCATGGTCAGGGAATACTGGGAGTTATAGTCCAAGAACATCTGGAGGGCTTCAGGTTCATCATCCACAGAGCAGACAGTACTGAGTGAAATGTACCATGTCATCAGATCACTGAACCATGGCAGCTTTAGATGAAACGCTTTGGGCATTTTTTTTGAAAGTGCTTGTATAAATTCAGAGTGTTGTTTTTTTTTATTGCATGTGTGATGTGAAGTGTTGCATTGTAGATAGAATACTTTAAAAAAAAAACACACACACCCATATCATTAAACTTAGGGTATTCTAATCATGCTCGTTCTTTTACTTTTTCAGAACCTGCAGGAGAAGAAAACAATTCCCTGTCCTCCATTCTATGATTCAGATAATCCTGTCAAAGGTACTGTGTTTCCTAAAATTTGGCGTTTTGACCGGTTGGTATTACAGTAGTACAGATGGATCATGTAATCACAGTGTTTCACTTATGTGCCTAGAAATTTGCCCACCCATGAAATCCAGGCATATTGTGGAATGTGAGATGCTTGTTTTTGACTAGTTGAATCTCCCGTGTTTAAAAATAAATCTGGCAGGTGTTTTGCTCAAAATACTAAGTAGTATTTTATACCAATCCCATTTACAGTATGGATTAATATTTAATCTCCTGTAATTTAGTTGTCAGGGTTGTTAATGCAGCACAGTTACATAATTATAGTGCAAAGATTTGATAATGCCTTGCTTTCTTTTGGGGGAAAAAATGCAGTCCTTGGGCATATTATCACATCTGTTACGTTAAATTTTTAATTTGTATATTTGTAATTGAAACTTGAAGTTCTTTATATGTCTTGTTCCCTAAGATTAATACAGCAACAAAACTGTTGTACTCACAGCAGCCCCTTTGAAATTGATGGAGATGACTAAATTAGGCAGATTAACTTCAGTGTGTCTACTCTGAGTAGAACTTTGCTGGGAACTTTGCTAGGGAAGGTTTCCAGTGTCCTAGATCCTTCTGTCTTCACGCAGTACACAGTGTTAATGAACACATAAAGGAACTAACCAGCTGCATTATACCAAGTCAGACTGTTAATCCACAAAGTTTAGTATTGCTTACTCTAACTGGCAGCAACTGTCTGGGATTTCAGGCTGGGGTGCCTCCCAGCCATACCTGGAAATGCTGGGGATTCAACCTGGGACTTTCTGCATGCAAAGCAGGTGGTGTACCACCAAGATATCCCTCTTCCCATATAGCTCATTGGAAGGACATATGCTTTTGACTCCAGAAATCCCATGTTCATCTTCAGGTGGGGTTGGGAGAGACTGAAACCCTGGAGTGCTGCTGCCAATTTTTGTAGGCAGCACTCAGTTAGCTGGATCTATGATCTGACATGATATTGGGAAGCTTCCTAGCATGAGAGAAAAGCTGCATAACTCAGTGGAAGGGCATCTGCTTTGCATGCAGAAGGTCCCAAGCTCAGTCCCCCAGTATCTCCAGGTGGGGCTGTGAATGTCTCCTGCCTGAAATCTGGAAAGTCATTGCCAGACAATACTGAGCTATATGGACCAGTGATCTGACTTGACATAAGGCACCTTCCAGTGGGATGTACCCAACTGACTTCTACACAGGTCCATTTATTTCAGTGGGCCTACTCTGAGTAGGACCAAGCTTGCATACAACCCTATGTTCCTGTGTAAGTAGTAATAACAATAATAATAATAATAATAATGAGTGGCTCTTGAGAAAAACAAAAGCAAAAAACCCAACAACCCAAGTTTACTCACATTTCTGTTTTCCAGTCTTGGACGTGTTGTGGGTCAGCACTTATGTCTTCAGTATCGTATATGCGGCTGCGGATGGGATCTTGGAAGCTGCACCGGAAGTGGTGATGGCTGTGCTTCCTGTACGTGAAGAGAGGAAGCGCTGGGGAAGCAACTTCTTTTTCTCTTGTCTTTGATTTCTAAGTCTGTACTGCCTACTGTCATTCTCATAATTTTGCCAGGTCTTTGTCCCTGGTTTGTGCTGCTGTGTCTTCCCACATGTTAGGCTCTTGCTTCAGAACGATAAAAAAAGTAGTGACCCGAGATGTAGAATCCCACTTCATAGAAACCATTTAGTCAAACTTTGCATGGAAATTGAAGCATTCACCAACCACAGCAGCCTCTGCACTTCTGCTGCGAGTGTCAGTTTTGCTTGCCAAGTCCCCATACAAACATGTGTTAGATGCCTACCTCTTAGATGCACAGGTTTAACTTGGGTGTTTGGAACTTTCTTTCTGCCTGAGGGCCACATTCCATCCCAAGCAGCCTTCCAGGGACCACATGCCAGTGGTGAGCAGCAGGGTTGCAGGCAAAAGCGAGCAGAGCAATGGATGTACATTTTGCCTCCGGATAGTAGGCTAGTTTCTATGGACACTCATAATAGTCCTTGCTGTCCTCCTTTCAGACAATCAAGAGGCATGATCAGAATTCTAGGAATGCATCCCAGCCAGGCAAAACAGTTTAGGAGTTCATATCTTTTTATGGTTATTGAAACATTTAATCATACTTTTGGCCAGAGGTGTGGGACCCTTGACCTTCCACGCACTGTAGGGACTCCAGCTTCCATCAGCCTCAGGCAGCATGGCCTGTGTTCAGGAATGATGGCAGTTTGTGTTATATAATAATGCATTCTTTATATCCTGCTTTTTCCCTACACTGTAACTCAAGGCAGATTTCAGAAATTAAAGCAAAACAGATAAAATACAGAAAGCTAAAAACATACAGAAGATAATAGTTTAAAAAGAATTAGACTGTAATAGAATTAAAACTATATAAACGCAAATTATGAAAATACTGATAGCAAAAAATAGCAAAGCCCTATTCAAATCACTTTCCTTAAAAGCAGTCAGTTCCCCAAAGCGCATGGGAACAAGGCAGCCTTCACGTGCCAGGGGAGAGCAGCAAGAAGGGAGTCAGTCTAGCTTCTCTAGGAAGGAAGCCATAAAATCTGGCAGCTGGCTATCACGAAGGCCCCCTCCTTGTAATTATGAAACAGTTGCAACCATAAAACAGTTATGTATGTTATAAATGATGCAAATATTTTTAAACAGTCCAGCGCCTGCAGGGTCATTTGTGAGCTGCCCCTCCCCTAAGACACTTTTCCTCATATGTTGCATCTCCCACACAGTTTCCTGTTCTGTCTCCCCATTCAGAAAAAAGAAGAAAAGCGGCCTGAGCTGTTTGTGAATTTTATGGAGCCCTGTTATGGCAGCTGTTCTGAGAGGCAACATCACTACTTCCTTAACTACGTTGAAGAATGGTGAGTAATGGCGATCATACAACATTGAATAGTTCCCTTTTAATTAGGTGAGCAAAGGGCTGGGTGTATTTAAAGATTGTTATTTGAAACTAACAGGGAAAGGTGTTTATGCTGCTTGAAGTGGGTTATGGATTTGTGGTTGTTGTTTCCTTCCTCAAGGGATCTGGTCCTTGCAGCATCTGCTGCTTCCACAGAGGTCAGCATCCTCGCAAGGCAAGGAGACAAGGTAATTCCACTTCCTATTTCCCCAGCAAGTGCCTCTTATAAGAAGACCAGAGGTCCCAGTGAGAGTTCCAGAGGGGTACAGTGGTACCTCGCAAGACGAATGCCTCGCAAGACAAAAAACCCGCTAGACGAAAGGGTTTTTTGTTTTTTGAGCTGCTTCGCAAGACGATTTTCTCTATGGGCTTGCTTCGCAAGACAGAAACATCTTGCAAGTTTGTTTCCTTTTTCTTAACACCGTTAATACAGTTGCGACTTGACTTCGAGGAGCAACTCATAGAACGCGGTGTGGTAGCCTTTTTTGAGGTTTTTAAAGACTTTGGTGGTTTTTGAAGCTTTTCCAAAACTTTCCCGACACTGTGCTTCGCAAGACGAAAAAAATCGCAAGATGACAAAACTCGCGGAACGAATTAATTTCGTCTTGCGAGGCACCACTGTAGTTATTATCAGTCAGCTGCAGCAAGAAATAGCAAAGTCTCATGTCACCTTGAAACCCATGCACTTACTGGGACAGAATATTTCATTGATTATCGTTTTATTATTGATTGATGGATTGATTGATTGATTGATTGATTGCACTTATACCCCACATTTTTCCCTCCAAGGAGCTCAAGGTGGTGTACATGGTTCATTTAATCCTCACAACAACCCTGTGAAGTAGTTTAGACCGAGAGGCAGGGACTGGCCCAGTGAACTTGATTGATTTGAACCCTGGGCTCCCAGGTCCAAGTCTGACCTGCTAACCATTACATTACTCAGGCTCTTGCTTTTGTGGACCATGGACTCACCCCCGCCAATGGTGGTGGACCAGATATACCCTTTTGACTTTAAGGCATCTCTTGAAGACCTTCTTATACCAACAGGCCCATGCAACTGCTTAAACATTTTTTATTCCAGTCGTTTAAATGTTTATTTCATGATGTTTCACTTGTACTTGTACATATTGCTGTATGCTGCCTTGATACTTTATATGAGTTGGTTGTACATAAAAATCTTTATAAATGAACCAAGGAATAATAGTAATTTTCTTCTCCACTGCACGTGCTACAGTGATTTTTTAAAGTAGAAAAAAAAGCCCTTATTACCACAAGTTGATCTCCCTGGCAGGAACGATTCCAGAGGTTGCCAAAGCACAGAGCCAATTGGGAGCAGCCATAGCTCAGTAGCAGAGCATCTCTTTAGCAAGCATAAGGCCCCAGGTTCAGTTCCCAGCATCTCCAGGTAGCGTTGGGAGTTGCTGTTAGTAGTGTGTAGACAATACTGTGCTAGATAGACCAAGATCCTGATTCCTAGTACTAATTAAACTAACCCTTCTTACAGAACAACTGGGAGCTGTGGGTTCTGGAAGACTCCAGCCGAGCAGAACTTCCGGTCACAGATAAGAGTGATGACACTTTGCCTGTAGGCGTGGCGATTGATTACACCAGCAACATGCCCATAACCATTAGTAAGTATATGAATGTTGCTCTTGGGTTAAGCATAAAGCAAACAGCAGCGCTCTCTCTATACCACGTGTGGGGAACCTTTTGCCCTCCAGATGTTGCTGAACTATCAGTCCTAGCAAGCATGGCCAGGGATGCTGAGAGTTGTAGTTCAGCAACATCTGGAGGGCTAAAGCTTCTTCACGCCTGCTGTAGAGGGAGCTTTAGTGCTGGTCATTAGTCCTGAGAAGATGCTATTAATATACCTGGAAGTGCTATTTTCCCACCTTCTAACTGTGATTCTTGAGGCTATTCAGAGTGGGCAGACCTGTGAGCCCGGGGCCAATTGTGACACGACCCCCCAGGCCTCCATCTGGCCCATGGGACTCTCCCCAGCTGACATTGTTTTTTGCCTGGCTGGAATGTGTCCTGTATAATTTTTTTTTAAAAAAGGGAAAAGGGTGGACTAGAAATGCCTGGCGTGCTCTGGTCCATGGGGTCACGAAGAGTTGGACACAACTAAACAACAACAACAGAAATGCATGGAATAGAGTTGTAATACATGTTGCATTAAGAGAAGTCATCTTGGGCACTTAGTTCCCTTTGTAAAGTTTTAAACTCTTGCCATTCTAACGTAACTTCCTGGTCCCTTCCCGGACTTGTTTTGAGGGCTGCTTACTAAGTGGAGGTACTGCTGAACACGTCTGCTCATGGTGTGTGTGTGTTTGTGGCATTTTTGCAGGTGAGGATAAAACGACAGACCCAGCACCGGTCCTGCTGCTGCTGTCAACTGATGGAGTCCTCTGCCCCTTTTACATGGTTAATCAAAACCCTGGTGTGAGGTCTTTGATGGTGGTGCCGGAGCCTCTCTCTCCAGAAGGAGACAGAGGAGCAAAATCAGCCGGTAGGTGCTTGCTTGCTTGCTTTTTTGGGGATCCAAGGTTGTAGAACACTTATCCTAAAACACTTTGAATGCAAATGGAGCAGCCTGGAGCAATCTAGGTGTTACTGAACTCCCAGCAGTCAGTGGCCAAGAATAATGAGAGTCAGAATTCAACAACGTATGGGTGGCACCGTGCCAGAGAAGGCTGGTGTAGAGTGATAAGGAGGGCATGGCAAGCAACTTGCACAACTTGAGATCAAAAAAGGCATACCTGTGCCCCTTACCCTCCCTTTTCAATCTTTCGGTTTTGCTCATCAGCATTTCTACCTTAATAGATCTTAATAGATCACAGTGTTCCATAGGAGAGTAGGAAACAGACCTCATGCCAGGTTGGACCATCAGTGTTATCTGCTCTGACTGGTAGCATCTCTCCAAGTTTCAGGCAAGGGCCTCTCTCTATCCCACCTAGAGAAGCTGGGTGTTGAAGCTGGGTCTTTCTGCGTGCAATGCAGAGGCTACCAAACTGTCCCACTTTGTGTATATGATTGGTTGGACCTGTGTTCAGTCCTTGGCATCTCCAGATGGGGCTGGGAGAGACCCTGGTCTGGAAACCTGGGGAGCTGCTGCCTATCAGTGTAGACAGTGCTCAGTTAGCTAGACCAACAATCTGATATGAAATAAGGAATCTTCCTAATAGGTGTGGAGGGGAGCAGTGTAGTTCAGTGGTAGAGAAACCTGCTTTGCATGCAGAAGGTCTCAGGTATCTCCGGGTAGGGCTGGGAATGTCTCCTTCCTGAACCCTGGAGAGCTACTGGAGATGGCAGGGATTGAACCTGGGACTTTCTGCATGCAATGCAGGTTCTTTCTCACTGAGCTGCCAATATTGTTGAAATCAAACCTTTATTAGGCATTATGCAAATAAAACCATAAAAGGGAAAATAACATATAAAATCCTTGAAATATATATAAAAAAGCAGCAGTTAGCTACATACATATATATATATATATACATATAGAATCAGTGGTTTTCCTTGTTAACCTGCTCCTTGGAGGACTGCTACCAAAAACTCGGCTACCCCCGCCGTTACCCTTTGGTCAACGTCGGATAGGCAGAATCCCACACATTCACCTTGCTGGGGTTCCAGACCACCCAAAAGAGGGGACAGCACGCGTTGACGGAGCGTACTGTACAATGGGCAATGAAAGAGAATATGCTCTACAGTGTCCGGGACATTCATAGAGCATCTGCAGAATCTCTTGTTTCTAGGAATGTTTTGATATCTTCCCCAGACAAATGCTGAGGGAAAAACATTCAACCAGGCCAGCATAAAAGCCCTACGTTGGGCTGGGATTATTAATTTAGTGACGTAATTGGCTCTACTATCTAAGATATTTAAATCATAGAATATGGGGGAGCAAATTTTGTTTACAGCTGCCATAATATTTTGTCTCTCGACATCCTTTAGTCTAGTTAGGATATTATGGAAAATGTATTGCTCATTAGAATTGTACAGGGGCTCCAGCTCGATGCCTAAAGATTCAATCTTTTTTTCGAGGTACTGATACCATCTTGATTTATAGGAGTCTTTGAGCAAATCAGCGAGCAGACTTGATGGAGGGCAGCGAAAATGGCAGCGTAACCAGTACTTTATTGAGGTGGACCAGGCCCAGTATTCCATTGTGTGTATGCCTATTTCTGCACACATTGTTTCATATTTGATCACAGCTGGGAGTCCAAGAATACGTCTCAGAAAGCTGGAGTGAATCTTTTTTAAATCACTGTTATATGCTTGGACCCATAGCGGGATTCCATAGAATATCTGGGCTTGCACTTTTGTTTGAAATATCTGATTGGAGCTGCCAATATATGGTCAGTATATTGGTAGTAAATATTGAACTCAAAGGGCGAAGAGAACTATTTGTGTATTATCTGTTTTGGCCAGAGATGAAGGTTCACTTCAAAGCCCTGTTCACTTTTCATCTGTGTAATTGCATTTCCTGTTCAATACGGAACACCTTAGTTTTGGCAAAGGCTTTTCTTTCCAGCTCCACTTGGCATGCTTGTTGGCAGGATGTTTGATTCAGACTGACATGATCCTTGCCAAAAATCGATGGGGGATTGTAGAAGGCCTTGTGCTCTCAATTCCCAGCTCAATTAAAATCCAGCCGACCTGGGAAATTGTAGTATTGATTTAAGGGCCAGCCCTTTGGGCAGGGATCTTGGAGGTCCGATCTGTGAGTCTGAAAAGATCTATTGTGCATTTTTATTAAATTACTTTGTATGTCTACCCTGCCATATCCTTAAACGACAGAGCTAATATCAGTATTCTAAGCATGTATCTGAGGGACGCGGGTGGCGCTGTGGGTTAAACCACAGAGCCTAGGACTTGCCGATCAGAAGGTCAGGGGTTCGAATCCCCATGACGGGGTGAGCTCCCGTTACTTGGTCCCTGCTCCTGCCAACCTAGCAGTTCGAAAGCACATCAAAGTAGATAAATAGATACCACTCCGGCAGGAAGGTAAATGGCGTTTCCGTGTGCTGCTCTGGTTCGCCAGAAGCGGCTTAGTCATGCTGGCCACATGACCCAGAAGCTGTACACCGGCTCCCTTGGCCAATAAAGCGAGATGAGCACCGCAACCCCAGAGTCGGTCTCAACTGGACCTAATGGTCAGGGGTCCCTTTACCTTTTTAAGCATGTATCTGCGCATGTACACAAATCTTGTCTGGTCTTGATAGAGAATTAAAATGTGTGCTGACTCTGGCCCTCCCCTGTGGGGATAAATGGGGGAAGGAGAATCTCGTATGATGGCCTGCTGAGCTGTGGAGATAAGTCCAAAGGCCTCTGAGATACATCTCAATTGTATAGGAAAGTCTCTCCACAATACCAAGCTGTGCAGCAGTTAAGGGTCTTCTCCCTTTTGCAGTGAATCGGCCTAAGTGTGTTATCAGGATCACCCCACATCTTTCTTCCAAGCCCAGAGACCATAGACAGCAGCTTCCAGTCCAAGCAAGCAAGATTAAGTCAAATGGGCAAATAATGTGCTAGTGTGAAGCAGCTAGCCTTTCAACTGCAGCATACACCCAGTCACGGTTAAAAGCTTTCCACCAGCCTGCATAACTGTAACTCCAAGATGTCAATTATAGCATCCTTGCCTGGTTTTATAGCCCGGCTGAGTTAGACGCACAGCCCATTTCCTTATTCCTCATCTCCTGTTGCACCTCCTGGCTAGCTCACCCTGTTCTGGAATTGTTCTGCTCTGGGTTAGTGCTCTCAATTGTCTTGGCACACAACACCATTCTAGTGTGGCCCTTGAGTGTTGTCTGGCTTCTTCCTAATGGGTCATTCCACCTCAGTTCAACACGGTCATGCCACCCACCATCTCGATTTTGATGAAACTTGCTGTACACCCATCCCTTATGATTGAAAGAAAGTAACCCCCTTAATTTTTTCCCCTCTTGAGATCCTCGGCCTTGTGTACATTTTATCCCCCCCCCCTAACCAATGATCATATCTCTTTGAAATTTTACACAGAGCTCAATAAGAGGATGAGGATTTCAGGAAAAAATACACCAGCACCCAGAAGTTTTTATAAATGCCTTTAAAAAATGTATAAATGCACTGTAGTTTTTTTGGTGAAAAAACTAGGTTTAGAAAACCTAAATTTTCAGCGTGTGGGCACGATGTAATCAAAAGTTTTTGATGGTGAAAATTATTGCAAAGACATGCTCTTTCTCAACAGAGAATAAGATTTAATGGTTTTTTATGTCTTGTAACAAAATTTTATGTTTTTGGGACATCATGGGGAAAAAATGGCTACCGGGTACAACTTTCCTACAATGCATAGCTGTAATAGAAAAAATAAATGAAACAAAGTTGTTCCTCTTAAAATCTAAAATAATATTGGTTATTACAGGTTGGTTGTTTTTTTCAAAAGTGCAGACTACTTTTTCAGTTTTGGGGTATTTAAAACTATGAAAATTGGCTATATCATGAAATCAATCTAAAAAAAAATTTGGTCAGAAACTTTAAATGCTGGCATGTAAGGAAATAAGACCTAGCAAGAAAAAGATTTAAAGAATTTAAAATTATGCATTATTTTCAATTTTACAACCATAAGGGAAGGGTGTGCACTAAGTTTCATCAAAATCCGAGAGGGTGGGTAGTGAAACCCTTGTTTTTTTATTTGATGTGGAATGGTCCTAATGTCACGTAGTAACTTTTAACAAAACCTCTCATCTCTCTTCCAGGCAGCACTCCCCCGTCATCCGCTTCCGCTTCTGCTCCTCCAAAAGTCGAAGCTTCCTTGGCCGTTGTCCCAGCCACATCTGCAGTTTCCAGCAAAGGGGCAGCCCCTTTGTCTTTCGCTTCCTTCACTCTGAAATCCACCAGATCTGCCGCTGATGCCCCACCGCAGTATCCTGGCATATCGGAGACCCCCAAGCCTCCCCTTGGTTCCAACCTGAGCGGAGCAGTCGGCTTCCCCTTCTCTCCGGCCACCAGCATCTCCAAAGCACCTCCAGCTCCATCTCTGCTGTCCAGCCCCCTTACAGCTTCTCCTCCCTCCTCTTTTGGTTCCGTGAGTTATAAAGCGGGCGTGGACAGCTCAGCCGGAGCCCCTCCCTTCGCGAGTCCTGTTGGGCTAAAGCAAGGTTTTGCCTCGCCGCCTTCCTCCGTCAAAACTAACCTCACTGAAAAGTAAGTCTCCCTTTGAGTCTTTTTAGCCAATGTAATCGTGGTGGTGTTGAAGCAGTTTTTGAATGTATTAAATACATGGTTTTAAAGTTGGTGGGGCTCTCCGTGTGTTGCTGGATTCAGGGTTCCCATTGTCCGATGGAACATGCTGATTGCGGCTGATGGGAATTGGAGTCCAGTACCCGGAAGGGCACCACAGGTTCTGCACCAGGGGCCCCATCTGCATTGTACATTTAAAGCAGTACCATTTTAAACAGGTCCTCCGTCCAAGGAATCTTAGGAACTGCTTGTTCAGGGGGATGAGAGCTGTTAGGAGACCCAGAGTTCCTGGGAAGAAGGATTGACTCTTAAGCCACTCTGGAAATTATATCTCTGTGAGAGGGAATAGGGGTCTCCTAACCTGTCGCTGTGGTCTAAATCACAGAGCCTAGGGCTTGCCGATCAGAAGGTTGGCGGTTTGAATCCCCGCGATGAGCTTCCATTGCTCGGTCCCTGCTCCTGCTAACCTAGCAGTTTGAAAGCATGTCAAAGTGCATGTAGATAAATAGGTACCACTCCGGCGGGAAGGTAAACGGTGTTTCTGTGCGCTGCTTTGGTTTGCCAGAAGTGGCTTAGTCATGCTGGCCACAGGAACCAGAAGCTGTATGCCGGCTCCCTCAGCCAATAAAGCGAGATGAGTGCCGCAACCCCAGAGTCTTCCGCGACTGGATCTAATGGTCAGGGGTCCCATTACCTTTATCTTTAACTTATCTCAGCAGGCTTAACAAGCAACAGCTGCCTGCGTTCTTTTGGAGAAGCCCTGACTATTGGTACTGCTTTAAATATGTAGTGCAACTATTTTTCAATACATTTGTGGGACAGAGGTTTTCCACTGCTCTTGCAGAGTGCTGATGGCACAGGCTGTGACCAAGGGCACCCTGCATGCAGCTACGTGTAACAGTCACCTGCAAAAGGCCCATACCATGAAGCTTCCTAGTCCCAAGAGCATGAATTCTTCTATTCTCCCTCCCTCCCCAGGTTCGCTGCTGCAGAATCTTCTACACCGGCTGCCAATAGTGGCCAAAACTCCAGTATGTTCTCCTTTTCACCTGCTGCAAAGCCTGTACCTGCTGGGACTCAGGTTCAGCCCACTGTGCTGGGCACTCCTCCTGCAGCGCCGATCAAGGCTTCCACCCCAGTCTCTTCAGCAGGTACATCCCCTCTCCCTTTCCCCTTTTTTCTGCTGATACCTCATATGTAGTTGTGACTGCATTACATGTGGATTAGTGTGAGAAACAGGGATTGAGGACTATTAACTTTGTACAAAAATGTAAGTCTGGCATTTCAACATCCCGCAGTGATTAGTTCTTTTTGCTGAAGATGTCTATTGCTGCCACAGAGATTTTATTTTATTTTTAACTGCCTGGCTGTGATCCCTCCTTTCTGGGATGGTCACATGTGTGCTTAGAGCTCTCTTTGCCACGGTGGTCTGCTCTTTCTTGCTAATTTCTGCCCGCTGTTGCATCAGGCATTGGAGATTGGCGCTTACAGAATCTCTTGCTTCTTGGGGGGACGGATGGACGACTTTCTTTATTCAGTTTAATTTAAAATGTTTATTTACTGCAGAGCTTTCCAAACTTTTCATGTTGGTGACATGCTTTTTAGACATGCATCATTTCACAACACAGTAATTCATTTTTTTTACTAGCAAACTGTAGGTTAAACTAACCCTATTCCAGCCCTGGGAGAAGCGTGGGGAGCATTTGCATGACACACCTACACACTGCAGCTGACACACCAATGCACCATAGCACACAGTTTGGAGAGCTCTGATCTACTGCTTAATATTTCAAAAATATCCTAAGCAGCATTCACTCTAAAAAAACAAACAGCATGTCATTAAAACTAAAACACAACCTTAAAAACAGCAATATGGAAACTACATAAAAACATATAAACTTAATTTTCTTGAAAGCAGATAGGCACACTTACCAAATCCTGTAATCTTTGAAATTCATGAGTGTGAGTCATTTTGTTTCTTTTTGGACTCCTAGTGGTGCGTCCTTCTCAGAGTGCTCCTCCAGCTTCCATGCTCCAGAAAACGGCCAAGATTTCCTCAGCTGTTTCAAAAGCGAGCCCTTCCCAGGTAATTAGAAGCTGACCTGTCTGTCCTTGACAGGAACCATATTGTTCCATCTCAAAAACAAGGATCAAATCCGACAGATCTTACTGCGTGAACAAAGCTGCTTCTATCTCACACAGCTTCTCTCTGGAAGATTGAAGGAGTCTCTGAGCAGATTTGGGAAAGGGAGACATTCAGTTACATGAGTGAACCCCAAGAGTATGCATACAGTGGTGCCTCGCAAGACGAAATTAATTCGTTCCGCAAGTTTTTTCTTCTTGCGAGTTTTTCGTCTTGCGAAGCACGGTTTCCCATAGGAATGCATTGAAAATCAATTAATGCGTTCCTAGGGAAACCGCTTGCCAGGGTGGCGGTGCGGAGAAGGGCTTTTCTCCCCACCGCAAGCCTTCAGGACAGGTACGGGAACAGAGGGGAAGGCGCGCAGCGCTTTCCCTCTGTTCCCGGGGCTTGCGTGGGAGGAGGGTTTTTCCTCCCCACCGCCGACATTCAGAACAGCATTCTGAATGTTGGCGGTGGGAAGGAAAACCCTCCTCCCACCCCAAGTCTTCAGGAAAGCCATCCGAAGCCGGGCGGCGGGAGAAGGCGTCCCCGCCCGCCGCCCGGCTTCGGAGCATCGTTCCGAAGCCGGGCGGCGGGAGGAGGCGTTCCCGTTCCGAAGCCGGGCGGCGGGAGGAGGTCCGAGGACAGTGGGGAAGACGCGCTGCGCTTCCCCGCTGTCCCGGAGATTTCCCTATGGGCTTTCGTCTTGCGAAGCAAGCCCATAGGGAAATTCGTTTTGCGAAGCGCCTCCAAAACGGAAAACCCTTTTGTCTAGCGGGTTTTCCGTCTTGCGAGGCGTTCGTCTTGCGGGGTACCACTGTATTAGGTGGTTATTTAGGAAGGAAGACATTTTACCTGTGACTCCTGGTGGATATGTGGCTCAGGGTGCCTAAACACTGTTGGCGGTGGGGTGGGGGTTGCTTAAGAGATTTTAGGGAGGCAGGTTTTAATTTTGGGGAGGCTTAATTGTTCTTGTCCTTGGTATTAATTTTTTGTACCATTATTGTCAGACCCACCCTTAAAGACAAGCAAATTACAAACTTTATTTACTTGTGTTTTGCTTTCAACACACAGGCTCCCCCCTTCCTCCCTCTCTTCCTTTAATATGTTCAGAAGTTTTCTTGTTTTATCTCTCATAGCAGAACATTTTAGTTCTAAAATTCCCCATCAAACAATAATAAAGCATTTGTGCCTTGCAGGGCCGGCAGCAAACCACCCACTGCTGGGGTGGAGAAACAGACTCACCAGTGGAATGATTCAGATCCTGTCATCATAGGAATCAGGGAGGAGGTGAGGCTTTCTGGAGCTATGATGTACTGTTCCTCCCCGGGTCACCTTTCTTTGAACCTGGACTCCATATGAAGTTGGACTTCAACTCTCATCAATGGTCAGAGGATGATGGGAGTTGTAGTCCAACAAGATCTGGTGGGCAACATGTTTGCTGTCCGTACTGTTCTTCCCCAACCTGAGCTCTCAACGGTTGGGGTGTGTCGTCATTTAACATGCATGAACTACTAAACTTGTTCCTGTAGATTGCACATTTCCAGAAGGAGATGGAAGAGCTGAAAGGCAGGACAGCCAAAGCTGCCATCGAAGTGGGCACCGAGGAAGAGGAGGAGATGTTGAGGATGGAGTCAAACGACCTTCACACTTTCCTTTTGGAGATCAAAGAGACAACAGAGGTAAGAGGATTTGGCGGAGGATGTAGCCTCCAGTTGAGAACCAAGTTTTGCTTCATGCTCAATTATCTCAGGGTTGAGAGTGGGTTACTTGTTAGGTCCTGGTTTTTACAAATTGAAGAACTTCTCATTCTGTTGACTGCATGGGACGATTGTGGTGGTATTACTATTACTGAGGCTATGACATTTTCTGTGCAATCCTAACCATGTCTCCTCTGTTGGGTAGCCCTGGTAATTCAAGGTGGGTGTTGTATTCTTCATTGTGTGGTGTATATATTTTATTTTCAGCTTTGCCTGAAACAATTGCCAAATCAGTATTCATAAAGCACAGTGGTTTGAAATGGCCTTCTGATTCCTGCCCCACTCAAGTCCCACTTATTAAATACAGTAGTTAGTTCACTCCATTGTTACGTAATTGAGTTTATGTTTTCATATGCTGAAAACAATATGCTGTGCCTTAATAGGCCACTTTGCCCTTGGCTGCGCGCCTCATGTATTTTCCTTATTTATCATACTTATCCTATTCCCATCAGATTGCACTCTTAAGGAGGAAGTTTGAAAGGGGGTTTGGTGCTCCTGAAGGAGACGTACTCACTCCATTGTGTTGCCTCCGGTAAATAGGTTTGCTGGGTTTTGGGGAACTGTCCCACAAACCTTTCTTGAGCTAGAGACAAAAGTAAGATGACAGAAATGTGCATACAGCATAGTTCCATCTTCTGGTTAAAGAAGCTTAGCACCATGTCTGAAATGATAACCATAATTTGTGACTGGCTTGGAAACCATGGTCTGAAGGCTGTTTGGGTTCTATTCTTTTGGCAAAATCATATATACTTATTGAATGATTTTTAGCCACTTCTTGTTCAAACTTCTCAGAATGACTTTAGAGCAAAAATCCACAGCAAGCCACTTAAAAAATTCCAGTGGGAATAAAATGTCTGGTTTTGAGCTAAGACTGAAAATAAAATAAAGACAGCATCAAGCAAACACTTTGCCACAGTTGAAGCCTCTAGACCAGGGGAGGGCAGGCTTCCAAGATCTGCTGTTGCTTTTGCTAGAATCCTGATATTCAAACAGAACAGTTGCAAAAGGCACACACTTAAGGACAAATCCCTGGTCTTAGTTTTCTTTAATGTTGAGCACCAGAGCTGAACGGCACCATCAGTCCTTCTCACCCAAATCCACCCTGATTACCTTCTACCAAGGCTTTTCTTCATTCAGTAATATATAATGGGGCAGGTTGCTAATGGTTATTGTTGCCACTGTTTTTGTTCTTTATGTTGGGGGGTTTTGTTTTTTAAGTGCTTTGTTTTGTCTAATTAGTTTAGCTATGGGTTATGGGCGGCATACAGATGCCAATTTTAAAAAAGAAATGAACCAGGGAACTGAGATGCAGACAGGCTTGTAGAAGCCTTCTGATTTGTTTGTCCCACCACCCCTGCCCTTGAGATGTAGAATCCTGCTTGTGGCAACAGTTTGTGCGCTGAACTGTGTTGTTGCCCCAGTATAGCTTTCTTCCAGACCTGATGAATTAACATGTCTGTGGAAAAGCCCACATATGTGTTTTGTGACAAGAGTTCCACCTACTTCCTGGTGGGTCTTCCTCTCCCTTTGTTCCTTTCTTGTAGTCCCTTCATGCAGACTTTAGCCTTCTGAAGACAAGCCTGCTGGAGGGGTTTGCAGGGCTGGAAGAAGCAAGACAGAAGGACAAGCGTGCTCACAACTCTGCGTATCTTCAGCTGCTCTATAAGAGGCCTTTGGACCCCAAAAGTGAAGCTCAACTTCAGGTAGGATCCTTGATAGGGCAAGGGGGTCAGAGCTTTGGGAGCCAGGGGGAAATTATAAATGCCTGCTAGGGAGGCAGAGGAAGTTCCAAACCCCATGGTCCCCAGCAGGTAATGGTACCTGTTCCAGTTAGAGATGTCACATAGGCTGCTCCAATCTCTAGCAAGCATTCCCTGCTGCTAGTTGCTCCCTTCTCAGAGGTTAAGCGTGTTTGCTTGGAAATGTTTTGGTAAGAGCTTTGGACAGTGTATATGAATCTCTTACCTCCTCTCCTCTTTTTATTTCCCCAAGAGCCCTGTCAAGTAGATTAGACTGAGATATGGCGAGTGGCCCAAGGCAACCTTGTGAGTTTCATGTCTTTGGATGTTAGAACCTGGGTTTCCCTAGTCTTGTAAAGGTAAAGGGACCCCTGACCGTTGGGTCCAGCCACGAACGACTGGGGTTGCGGCGCTCATCTCACTTTATTGCCCAAGGGAACTGGCGTACACCTTCCGGGTCATGTGGCCAGCATGACTAAGCTGCTTCTGGCGAACCAGAGCAGCACACGGGAACGCCACTTGGGCAATAAAGTGAGATGAGCGCCGCAACCCCGTCGTTCGTGGCTGGACCCAACGGTCAGGGTCCCTTTACCTTTACAAGACTAGGAAACCCAGGTTCTAACATCCAAAGACATGAAACTCACAAGGTTGCCTTGGGCCACTCGCCATTATCTCAGTCTAATCTACTTGACAGGGCTCTTGGGGAAATAAAAAGAGGAGAGGAGGTAAGAGATTCATATACACTGTCCAAAGCTCTTACCAAAACATTTCCAAGCAAAACACGCTTAACCTCTGAGAAGGGAGCAACTAGCAGCAGGGAATGCTTGCTAGAGATTGGAGCAGCCTATGTGACATCTCTAACTGGAACAGGTACCATTACCTGCTGGGACCATGGGGTTTGGAACTTCCTCTGCCTCCCTAGCAGGCATTTATAATTTTCCCCCTGGCTCCCAAAGCTCTGACCCCCTTGCCCTATCAAGGATCCTACCTGAAGTTGAGCTTCACTTTTGGGGTCCAAAGGCCTCTTATAGAGCAGCTGAAGATACGCAGAGTTGTGAGCACGCTTGTCCTTCTGTCTTGCTTCTTCCAGCCCTGCAAACCCCTCCAGCAGGCTTGTCTTCAGAAGGGCTAAAGTCTGCATGAAGGGACTACAAGAAAGGAACAAAGGGAGAGGAAGACCCACCAGGAAGTAGGTGGAACTCTTTGTCACAAACACATATGTGGCTTTTCCACAGACATGTTAATTCATCAGTCTGGAAAGAAAGCTACTGGGCAACAACACAGTTCAGCAGCACAAACTGTTGCCACAAGCAGGATTCTACATCTCAAGGGCAGGGGTGGTGGGACCAAAACAAACAGAAGGTCTACAAGCCTGTCTGCATCCAGTTCCCTGTTCATTTCTTTTTTTAAAATTTGGCATCTGTATGCCGCCCCATAACCATAAGCTAAACTAATTAGACAAAACAAAGCACTTAAAAAAACAAAACCCCCAACATAAATAGAACAAAAACAGTGGCAACAATAACATTAGCAACCTGCCCCATTATATATTACTGAAATGAAGAAAGCCTTGGGTAGAAGGTAATCAGGGTGGATTTGGGTGAGAAGGACTGATGGTGCCGTTCAGCTCTGGTGCTCAACATTAAAGAAAACTAAGACCAGGGATTTGTCCTTAAGTGTGTGCCTTTTGCAACTGTTCTGTTTGAATATCAGGATTCTAGCAAAAGCAACAGCAGATCTTGGAAGCCTGCCCTCCCCTGGTCTAGAGGCTTCAACTGTGGGCAAAGTGTTTGCTTGATGCTGTCTTTATTTTATTTTCAGTCTTAGCTCAAAACCAGACATTTTATTCCCACTGGAATTTTTAAGTGGCTTGCTGTGGATTTTTGCTCTAAAGTCATTCTGAGAAGTTTGAACAAGAAGTGGCTAAAAATCATTCAATAAGTATATATGATTGCCAAAAGAATAGAACCCAAACAGCCTTCAGACCATGGTTTCCAAGCCAGTCACAAATTATGGTTATCATTTCAGACATGGTGCTAAGCTTCTTTAACCAGAAGATGGAACTATGCTGTATGCACATTTCTGTCATCTTACTTTTGTCTCTAGCTCAAGAAAGGTTTGTGGGACAGTTCCCCAAACCCAGCAAACCTATTTACCGGAGGCAACACAATGGAGTGAGTACGTCTCCTTCAGGAGCACCAAACCCCCTTTCAAACTTCCTCCTTAAGAGTGCAATCTGATGGGAATAGGATAAGTATGATAAATAAGGAAAATACATGAGGCGCGCAGCCAAGGGCAAAGTGGCCTATTAAGGCACAGCATATTGTTTTCAGCATATGAAAACATAAACTCAATTACGTAACAATGGAGTGAACTAACTACTGTATTTAATAAGTGGGACTTGAGTGGGGCAGGAATCAGAAGGCCATTTCAAACCACTGTGCTTTATGATACTGATTTGGCAATTGTTTCAGGCAAAGCTGAAAATAAAATATATACACCACACAATGAAGAATACAACACCCACCTTGAATTACCAGGGCTACCCAAACAGAGGAGACATGGTTAGGATTGCACAGAAAATGTCATAGCCTCAGTAATAGTAATACCACCACAATCGTCCCATGCAGTCAACAGAATGAGAAGTTCTTCAATTTGTAAAAACCAGGACCTAACAAGTAACCCACTCTCAACCCTGAGATAATTGAGCATGAAGCAAAACTTGGTTCTCAACTGGAGGCTACATCCTCCGCCAAATCCTCTTACCTCTGTTGTCTCTTTGATCTCCAAAAGGAAAGTGTGAAGGTCGTTTGACTCCATCCTCAACATCTCCTCCTCTTCCTCGGTGCCCACTTCGATGGCAGCTTTGGCTGTCCTGCCTTTCAGCTCTTCCATCTCCTTCTGGAAATGTGCAATCTACAGGAACAAGTTTAGTAGTTCATGCATGTTAAATGACGACACACCCAACCGTTGAGAGCTCAGGTTGGGGAAGAACAGTACGGACAGCAAACATGTTGCCCACCAGATCTTGTTGGACTACAACTCCCATCATCCTCTGACCATTGATGAGAGTTGAAGTCCAACTTCATATGGAGTCCAGGTTCAAAGAAAGGTGACCCGGGGAGGAACAGTACATCATAGCTCCAGAAAGCCTCACCTCCTCCCTGATTCCTATGATGACAGGATCTGAATCATTCCACTGGTGAGTCTGTTTCTCCACCCCAGCAGTGGGTGGTTGCTGCCGGCCCTGCAAGGCACAAATGCTTTATTATTGTTTGATGGGGAATTTTAGAACTAAAATGTTCTGCTATGAGAGATAAAACAAGAAAACTTCTGAACATATTAAAGGAAGAGAGGGAGGAAGGGGGGAGCCTGTGTGTTGAAAGCAAAACACAAGTAAATAAAGTTTGTAATTTGCTTGTCTTTAAGGGTGGGTCTGACAATAATGGTACAAAAAATTAATACCAAGGACAAGAACAATTAAGCCTCCCCCAAAATTAAAACCTGCCTCCCTAAAATCTCTTAAGCAACCCCACCCCACCGCCAACAGTGTTTAGGCACCCTGAGCCACATATCCACCAGGAGTCACAGGTAAAATGTCTTTCCTTCCTAAATAACCACCTAATACAGTGGACCCCGCAAGACGAACGCCTCGCAAGACGGAAAAACCCGCTAGACAAAAGGGTTTTCCGTTTTGGAGGCGCTTCGCAAAACGAATTTCCCTATGGGCTTGCTTCGCAGACGAAAGCCCATAGGGAAATCTCCGGGACAGCGGGGAAGCGCAGCGCGTCTTCCCCACTGTCCTCGACCTCCTCCCGCCGCCCGGCTTCGGAACGGGAACGCCTCCTCCCGCCGCCCGGCTTCGGAACGATGCTCCGAAGCCGGGCGGCGGGCGGGGACGCCTTCTCCCGCCGCCCGGCTTCGGATGGCTTTCCTGAAGACTTGGGGTGGGAGGAGGGTTTTCCTTCCCACCGCCAACATTCAGAATGCTGTTCTGAATGTGGCGGTGGGGAGGAAAAACCCTCCTCCCACGCAAGCCCCGGGAACAGAGGGAAAGCTGCGCGCCTTCCCCTCTGTTCCCGTACCTGTCCTGAAGGCTTGCGGTGGGGAGAAAAGCCCTTCTCCGCACCGCCACCTGGCAAGCGGTTTCCCTAGGAACGCATTAATTGATTTTCAATGCATTCCTATGGGAAACCGTGCTTCGCAAGACGAAAAACTCGCAAGAAGAAAAAACTTGCGGAACGAATTAATTTCGTCTTGCGAGGCACCACTGTATGCATACTCTTGGGGTTCACTCATGTAACTGAATGTCTCCCTTTCCCAAATCTGCTCAGAGACTCCTTCAATCTTCCAGAGAGAAGCTGTGTGAGATAGAAGCAGCTTTGTTCACGCAGTAAGATCTGTCGGATTTGATCCTTGTTTTTGAGATGGAACAATATGGTTCCTGTCAAGGACAGACAGGTCAGCTTCTAATTACCTGGGAAGGGCTCGCTTTTGAAACAGCTGAGGAAATCTTGGCCGTTTTCTGGAGCATGGAAGCTGGAGGAGCACTCTGAGAAGGACGCACCACTAGGAGTCCAAAAAGAAACAAAATGACTCACACTCATGAATTTCAAAGATTACAGGATTTGGTAAGTGTGCCTATCTGCTTTCAGGAAAATTAAGTTTATATGTTTTTATGTAGTTTCCATATTGCTGTTTTTAAGGTTGTGTTTTAGTTTTAATGACATGCTGTTTGTTTTTTTAGAGTGAATGCTGCTTAGGATATTTTTGAAATATTAAGCAGTAGATCAGAGCTCTCCAAACTGTGTGCTATGGTGCATTGGTGTGTCAGCTGCAGTGTGTAGGTGTGTCATGCAAATGCTCCCACGCTTCTCCCAGGGCTGGAATAGGGTTAGTTTAACCTACAGTTTGCTAGTAAAAAAATGAATTACTGTGTTGTGAAATGATGCATGTCTAAAAAGCATGTCACCAACATGAAAAGTTGGAAAGCTCTGCAGTAAATAAACATTTTAAATTAAACTGAATAAAGAAAGTCGTCCATCCGTCCCCCAAGAAGCAAGAGATTCTGTAAGCGCCAATCTCCAATGCCTGATGCAACAGCGGGCAGAAATTAGCAAGAAAGAGCAGACCACCGTGGCAAAGAGAGCTCTAAGCACACATGTGACCATCCCAGAAAGGAGGGATCACAGCCAGGCAGTTAAAAATAAAATAAAATCTCTGTGGCAGCAATAGACATCTTCAGCAAAAAGAACTAATCACTGCGGGATGTTGAAATGCCAGACTTACATTTTTGTACAAAGTTAATAGTCCTCAATCCCTGTTTCTCATACTAATCCACATGTAATGCAGTCACAACTACATATGAGGTATTATCAGCAGAAAAAAGGGGAAAGGGAGAGGGGATGTACCTGCTGAAGAGACTGGGGTGGAAGCCTTGATCGGCGCTGCAGGAGGAGTGCCCAGCACAGTGGGCTGAACCTGAGTCCCAGCAGGTACAGGCTTTGCAGCAGGTGAAAAGGAGAACATACTGGAGTTTTGGCCACTATTGGCAGCCGGTGTAGAAGATTCTGCAGCAGCGAACCTGGGAGGGAGGGAGAATAGAAGAATTCATGCTCTTGGGACTAGGAAGCTTCATGGTATGGGCCTTTTGCAGGTGACTGTTACACGTAGCTGCATGCAGGGTGCCCTTGGTCACAGCCTGTGCCATCAGCACTCTGCAAGAGCAGTGGAAAACCTCTGTCCCACAAATGTATTGAAAAATAGTTGCACTACATATTTAAAGCAGTACCAATAGTCAGGGCTTCTCCAAAGAACGCAGGCAGCTGTTGCTTGTTAAGCCTGCTGAGATAAGTTAAAGATAAAGGTAATGGGACCCCTGACCATTAGATCCAGTTGCGGAAGACTCTGGGGTTGCGGCACTCATCTCGCTTTATTGGCTGAGGGAGCCGGCATACAGCTTCTGGTTCCTGTGGCCAGCATGACTAAGCCACTTCTGGCAAACCAAAGCAGCGCACAGAAACACCGTTACCTTCCCGCCGGAGTGGTACCTATTTATCTACATGCACTTTGACATGCTTTCGAACTGCTAGGTTAGCAGGAGCAGGGACCGAGCAATGGAAGCTCATCGCGGGATTCAAACCGCCAACCTTCCGATCGGCAAGCCCTAGGCTCTGTGATTTAGACCACAGCGACAGGTTAGGAGACCCTATTCCCTCTCACAGATATAATTTCCAGAGTGGCTTAAGAGTCAATCCTTCTTCCCAGGAACTCTGGGGTCTCCTAACAGCTCTCATCCCCCTGAACAAGCAGTTCCTAAGATTCCTTGGACGGAGGACCTGTTTAAAATGGTACTGCTTTAAATGTACAATGCAGATGGGGCCCCTGGTGCAGAACCTGTGGTGCCCTTCCGGGTACTGGACTCCAATTCCCATCAGCCACAATCAGCATGTTCCATCGGACAATGGGAACCCTGAATCCAGCAACACACGGAGAGCCCCACCAACTTTAAAACAATGTATTTAATACATTCAAAAACTGCTTCAACACCACCACGATTACATTGGCTAAAAAGACTCAAAGGGAGACTTACTTTTCAGTGAGGTTAGTTTTTGACGGAGGAAGGCGGCGAGGCAAACCTTGCTTTAGCCCAACAGGACTCGCGAAGGGAGGGGCTCCGGCTGAGCTGTCCATGCCCGCTTTATAACTCACGGAACCAAAAGAGGAGGGAGGAGAAGCTGTAAGGGGGCTGGACAGCAGAGATGGAGCTGGAGGTGCTTTGGAGATGCTGGTGGCCGGAGAGAAGGGGAAGCCGACTGCTCCGCTCAGGTTGGAACCAAGGGGAGGCTTGGGGGTCTCCGATATGCCAGGATACTGCGGTGGGCATCAGCGGCAGATCTGGTGGATTTCAGAGTGAAGGAAGCGAAAGACAAAGGGGCTGCCCCTTTGCTGGAAACTGCAGATGTGGCTGGGACAACGGCCAAGGAAGCTTCGACTTTTGGAGGAGCAGAAGCGGAAGCGGATGACGGGGGAGTGCTGCCTGGAAGAGAGATGAGAGGTTTTGTTAAAAGTTACTACGTGACATTAGGACCATTCCACATCAAATAAAAAAACAAGGGTTTCACTACCCACCCTCTCGGATTTTGATGAAACTTAGTGCACACCCTTCCCTTATGGTTGTAAAATTGAAAATAATGCATAATTTTAAATTCTTTAAATCTTTTCTTGCTAGGTCTTATTCCTTACATGCCAGCATTTAAAGTTTCTGACCAAATTTTTTTTTAGATTGATTTCATGATATAGCCAATTTTCATAGTTTTAAATACCCCAAAACTGAAAAAGTAGTCTGCACTTTTGAAAAAAACAAACCAACCTGTAATAACCAATATTATTTTAGATTTTAAGAGAACAACTTTGTTTCATTATTTTTTCTATTACAGCTATGCATTGTAGGAAAGTTGTTACCGGTGATGCCATTTTTCCCATGATGTCCCAAAAACAAAAATTTTGTTACAAGACAAAAAACCATTAAATCTTATTCTCTGTTGAAGAAAGAGCATGTCTTTGCATATAATTCACCATACAAAAACTTTTGATTACATCGTGCCCACACGCTGAAAATTTAGGTTTTCTAAACCTAGTTTTTTCACCAAAAAACTACAGTGCATTATACATTTTTTAAAGGCATTTATTAAAACTTCTGGGTGCTGGTGTATTTTTCCTGAAATCCTCATCCTCTTATTGAGCTCTGTGTAAAATTTCAAAGAGATCTGATCATTGGTTAGGGGGGGGGGGATAAAATGTACACAAGGCCGAGGATCTCAAGAGGGGAAAAAATTAAGGGGGTTACTTTCTTTCAATCATAAGGGATGGGTGTACAGCAAGTTTCATCAAAATCGAGATGGTGGGTGGCATGACCGTGTTGAACTGAGGTGGAATGACCCATTAGGAAGAAGCCAGACAACACTCAAGGGCCACACTAGAATGGTGTTGTGTGCCAAGACAATTGAGAGCACTAACCCAGAGCAGAACAATTCCAGAACAGGGTGAGCTAGCCAGGAGGTGCAACAGGAGATGAGGAATAAGGAAATGGGCTGTGCGTCTAACTCAGCCGGGCTATAAAACCAGGCAAGGATGCTATAATTGACATCTTGGAGTTACAGTTATGCAGGCTGATGGAAAGCTTTTAACCGTGACTGGGTGTATGCTGCAGTTGAAAGGCTAGCTGCTTCACACTAGCACATTATTTGCCCATTTGACTTAATCTTGCTTGCTTGGACTGGAAGCTGCTGTCTATGGTCTCTGGGCTTGGAAGAAAGATGTGGGGTGATCCTGATAACACACTGAGGCCGATTCACTGCAAAAGGGAGAAGACCTTAACTGCTGCACAGCTTGGTATTGTGGAGAGACTTTCCTATACAATTGAGATGTATCTCAGAGGCCTTTGGACTTATCTCCACAGCTCAGCAGGCCATCATACGAGATTCTCCTTCCCCATTTATCCCACAGGGAGGGCCAGAGTCAGCACACATTTTAATTCTCTATCAAGACCAGACAAGATTTGTGTACATGCGCAGATACATGCTTAAAAAGGTAAAGGGACCCCTGACCATTAGGTCCAGTTGAGACCGACTCTGGAGTTGCGGTGCTCATCTCGCTTTATTGGCCAAGGGAGCCGGTGTACAGCTTCTGGGTCATGTGGCCAGCATGACTAAGCCGCTTCTGGCGAACCAGAGCAGCACACGGAAACGCCATTTACCTTCCTGCCGGAGTGGTACTATTTATCTACTTTGCCTTTGATGTGCTTTCGAACTGCTAGGTTGGCAGGAGGGACCAAGTAACGGGAGCTCACCCCGTCATGGGGATTCGAACCCTGACCTTCTGATCGGCAAGTCCTAGGCTCTGTGGTTTAACCCACAGCGCCACCCGCGTCCTCAGATACATGCTTAGAATACTGATATTAGCTCTGTCGTTTAAGGATATGGCAGGGTAGACATACAAAGTAATTTAATAAATGCACAATAGATCTTTTCAGACTCACAGATCGGACCTCCAAGATCCCTGCCCAAAGGGCTGGCCCTTAAATCAATACTACAATTTCCCAGGTCGGCTGGATTTTAATTGAGCTGGGAATTGAGAGCACAAGGCCTTCTACAATCCCCCATCGATTTTTGGCAAGGATCATGTCAGTCTGAATCAAACATCCTGCCAACAAGCATGCCAAGTGGAGCTGGAAAGAAAAGCTTTGCCAAACTAAGGTGTTCCGTATTGAACAGGAAATGCAATTACACAGATGAAAAGTGAACAGGGCTTTGAAGTGAACCTTCATCTCTGGCCAAAACAGATAATACACAAATAGTTCTCTTCGCCCTTTGAGTTCAATATTTACTACCAATATACTGACATATATTGGCAGCTCAGTGAGAAAGAACCTGCATTGCATGCAGAAAGTCCCAGGTTCAATCCTGCATCTCCAGTAGCTCTCCAGGGTTCAGGAAGGAGACATTCCAGCCCTACCCGGAGATACCTGAGACTTTGCATGCAAAGCAGGTTTCTCTACCACTGAACTACACTGCTCCCCTCCACACCTATTAGGAAGATTCCTTATTTCATATCAGATTGTTGGTCTAGCTAACTGAGCACTGTCTACACTGATAGGCAGCAGCTCCCAGGTTTCCAGACCAGGGTCTCTCCCCCCCATCTGGAGATGCCAAGGACTGAACACAGGTCCAACCAATCATATACACAAAGTGGGACAGTTTGGTAGCCTCTGCATTGCACGCAGAAAGACCCAGCTTCAACACCCAGCTTCTCTAGGTGGGATAGAGAGAGGCCCTTGCCTGAAACTTGGAGAGATGCTACCAGTCAGAGCAGATAACACTGATGGTCCAACCTGGCATGAGGTCTGTTTCCTACTCTCCTATGGAACACTGTGATCTATTAAGATCTATTAAGGTGGAAATGCTGATGAGCAAAACCGAAAGATTGAAAAGGGAGGGTAAGGGGCACAGGTATGCCTTTTTTGATCTCAAGTTGTGCAAGTTGCTTGCCATGCCCTCCTTATCACTCTACACCAGCCTTCTCTGGCACGGTGCCACCCATACGTTGTTGAATTCTGACTCTCATTATTCTTGGCCACTGACTGCTGGGAGTTCAGTAACACCTAGATTGCTCCAGGCTGCTCCATTTGCATTCAAAGTGTTTTAGGATAATGTTCTACAACCTTGGATCCCCAAAAAAGCAAGCAAGCAAGCACCTACCGGCTGATTTTGCTCCTCTGTCTCCTTCTGGAGAGAGAGGCTCCGGCACCACCATCAAAGACCTCACACCAGGGTTTTGATTAACCATGTAAAAGGGGCAGAGGACTCCATCAGTTGACAGCAGCAGCAGGACCGGTGCTGGGTCTGTCGTTTTATCCTCACCTGCAAAAATGCCACAAACACACACACACCATGAGCAGACGTGTTCAGCAGTACCTCCACTTAGTAAGCAGCCCTCAAAACAAGTCCGGGAAGGGACCAGGAAGTTACGTTAGAATGGCAAGAGTTTAAAACTTTACAAAGGGAACTAAGTGCCCAAGATGACTTCTCTTGATTAATGCAACATGTATTACAACTCTATTCCATGCATTTCTGTTGTTGTTGTTTAGTTGTGTCCAACTCTTCGTGACCCCATGGACCAGAGCACGCCAGGCATTTCTAGTCCACCCTTTTCCCTTTTTTTAAAAAAATTATACAGGACACATTCCAGCCAGGCAAAAAACAATGTCAGCTGGGGAGAGTCCCATGGGCCAGATGGAGGCCTGGGGGGTCGTGTCACAATTGGCCCCGGGCTCACAGGTCTGCCCACTCTGAATAGCCTCAAGAATCACAGTTAGAAGGTGGGAAAATAGCACTTCCAGGTATATTAATAGCATCTTCTCAGGACTAATGACCAGCACTAAAGCTCCCTCTACAGCAGGCGTGAAGAAGCTTTAGCCCTCTAGATGTTGCTGAACTACAACTCTCAGCATCCCTGGCCATGCTTGCTAGGACTGATAGTTCAGCAACATCTGGAGGGCAAAAGGTTCCCCACACGTGGTATAGAGAGAGCGCTGCTGTTTGCTTTATGCTTAACCCAAGAGCAACATTCATATACTTACTAATGGTTATGGGCATGTTGCTGGTGTAATCAATCGCCACGCCTACAGGCAAAGTGTCATCACTCTTATCTGTGACCGGAAGTTCTGCTCGGCTGGAGTCTTCCAGAACCCACAGCTCCCAGTTGTTCTGTAAGAAGGGTTAGTTTAATTAGTACTAGGAATCAGGATCTTGGTCTATCTAGCACAGTATTGTCTACAGCAACTCCCAACGCTACCTGGAGATGCTGGGAACTGAACCTGGGGCCTTATGCTTGCTAAAGAGATGCTCTGCTACTGAGCTATGGCTGCTCCCAATTGGCTCTGTGCTTTGGCAACCTCTGGAATCGTTCCTGCCAGGGAGATCAACTTGTGGTAATAAGGGCTTTTTTTTCTACTTTAAAAAATCACTGTAGCACGTGCAGTGGAGAAGAAAATTACTATTATTCCTTGGTTCATTTATAAAGATTTTTATGTACAACCAACTCATATAAAGTATCAAGGCAGCATACAGCAATATGTACAAGTACAAGTGAAACATCATGAAATAAACATTTAAACGACTGGAATAAAAAATGTTTAAGCAGTTGCATGGGCCTGTTGGTATAAGAAGGTCTTCAAGAGATGCCTTAAAGTCAAAAGGGTATATCTGGTCCACCACCATTGGCGGGGGTGAGTCCATGGTCCACAAAAGCAAGAGCCTGAGTAATGTAATGGTTAGCAGGTCAGACTTGGACCTGGGAGCCCAGGGTTCAAATCAATCAAGTTCACTGGGCCAGTCCCTGCCTCTCGGTCTAAACTACTTCACAGGGTTGTTGTGAGGATTAAATGAACCATGTACACCACCTTGAGCTCCTTGGAGGGAAAAATGTGGGGTATAAGTGCAATCAATCAATCAATAATCAATCCATCAATCAATAATAAAACGATAATCAATGAAATATTCTGTCCCAGTAAGTGCATGGGTTTCAAGGTGACATGAGACTTTGCTATTTCTTGCTGCAGCTGACTGATAATAACTACAGTGGTGCCTCGCAAGACGAAATTAATTCGTTCCGCGAGTTTTGTCATCTTGCGATTTTTTTCGTCTTGCGAAGCACAGTGTCGGGAAAGTTTTGGAAAGCTTCAAAAACCACCAAAGTCTTTAAAAACCTCAAAAAAGGCTACCACACCGCGTTCTATGAGTTGCTCCTCGAAGTCAAGTCGCAACTGTATTAACGGTGTTAAGAAAAAGGAAACAAACTTGCAAGACGTTTCTGTCTTGCGAAGCAAGCCCATAGGGAAAATCGTCTTGCGAAGCAGCTCAAAAAACAAAAAACCCTTTCGTCTAGCGGGTTTTTTGTCTTGCGAGGCATTCGTCTTGCGAGGTACCACTGTACCCCTCTGGAACTCTCACTGGGACCTCTGGTCTTCTTATAAGAGGCACTTGCTGGGGAAATAGGAAGTGGAATTACCTTGTCTCCTTGCCTTGCGAGGATGCTGACCTCTGTGGAAGCAGCAGATGCTGCAAGGACCAGATCCCTTGAGGAAGGAAACAACAACCACAAATCCATAACCCACTTCAAGCAGCATAAACACCTTTCCCTGTTAGTTTCAAATAACAATCTTTAAATACACCCAGCCCTTTGCTCACCTAATTAAAAGGGAACTATTCAATGTTGTATGATCGCCATTACTCACCATTCTTCAACGTAGTTAAGGAAGTAGTGATGTTGCCTCTCAGAACAGCTGCCATAACAGGGCTCCATAAAATTCACAAACAGCTCAGGCCGCTTTTCTTCTTTTTTCTGACCTGTCAAGGACTGGCCCGTATGGGCAGGGGTACCTATGCATTGCTTTTAACATTTCCTTCCACTAAAATCAAGTAAAATATTTATTGTTACGGTCCAGCAACTAGCATCAAGGAAACAAAATAGAAATCACATAAGACACATTATCCAAATGCGTTATCATGTAAATCAATCACATAACTAATCTTGTTTGTTTCAGTTGTAGTGGCTAGTGAAGTGAATGAAATAGGCTCTAGTGGAACTTGAACTGTGGGAAATGGAAACAGCACTGATTTCAGTGGAATGGTGGATGGGATGGAAACTGCTACCTCCTTACATCCCTAAGAGGACTTCATGCTGCAACATTTTCTTGCAGCTCCTGCTACTATAACGATAGCTACTGCTGATCCAAAAACTTTACTGTTTTTGTGGCAGTTCCCCTACAGTATTTGCCCATCACTTGGAACCTTTTCTTATGGCTTACCAAATTTCAAAAATTAATAATGGCAATTGTGTTTACAGTTGTGACATATCACTCCTAACCACATGCAAAAGTGTGTTGCCTACACTCTTTTCTTCTACCAATTCTCTTTTGATTTCGTATTGGAAACAGCTTTTCTGTCTACGTGGAGCGGTCTCTAAGAAAGGGCATTTTGGAATCTACAGACACGGCCCTTCATAATCAGAGGTTCTCTGGCTATGCTCTATTTGAAGTTTAAGACCTTTGCAAGTCACCTGCATCCCATTTTGAAGCTGTGCATTTATTTCTTTATGCTGTCTCCACTTTTTATGGGCTAAAACTGCTGATGGTTAACAGAAAACCAAGCAGCATGGAAATGATAGAACCAGGATATGTGAAGTTATTAATAGAGTGGTTGACATTATATTCGTAATTTCTGAGCAGGCTTTTTACTAGCGGAAGCATTGGCATCTCTCTCCTCCTTCCACAGTCCCCAGGAACCGTCCCGTATTATCTGTGCTTGTTAATCGCCCCTTCATGAGGCAAATGAGGAGGCAATATATCAAACAAGGGAAAAATACTTGAATAGGAATTTATGTGACAGATAAAACAGGGGTAGAGAATATACTAGGGACCTGGGGCCAACATGGCAGCACCTTTCCACAAACCGCCTTTTTGTCATTGGCGCTAGGGCTGGAGTGATAACCTAAGGACCCTTCCAACGTGGTCCGCATATTTTGCCAGGATGTCCTTCATTGTGTGACAAGAAGGGGGTGGAAATACGTGTATGGGCATTGTTGTCGAAGCTGACTGCAGGACGAGGAGAGTACAAAGGCACAAGACGACGTCTAGAGCAGCAAAAGTGTTTCTAACGTCTTAGGAATCCTGTAGGAACGGCTTAGCTGCTACAAGAAGAGCAAAAGACGTCTTTGAGGATAAGTATCCCTAAGAGACATGTAGGAATGAGAAAGAGCGTACAGTACAATGCGATAGAGAATAGTGAAGATAAGAGACAATACATCGATATATATGATTACCAATGTCTTGCCATTTTGAGCCCACATTTAAAAGCGTGGACACAAAACCAAGATCTTGAATGTAAAGAAACACGAACCAGTAATAGAATTTTGGTTGCTAGGATTGTCGTGGCTTTGTAAAAAGGACGGATGTGACAATTGAGAAAATTGTCTCTCCGCCCCTAATAGGGAGCTTTTGAAAACATAATTGTTTGGAGAATGGACACTCCGGAACTCTACAAGCTGGTAGAGAGTAAAATCGTGCAGAACTAGACCAATATGACCTTTGAAACGGACGGAAATGAATGTGAACAGAAGATGAGCCTTAGTGATTGCATTTGCAATGACAGACGCTTCCAGTTTGTTGAACACCTGACCAATAGAGAAATGGATTTAGATAAGACTCTAAGCAATTCAAGAGATACCCCTGTTTGAAACAAACAGATGAAAACAACCTAGAGGCTAGTAGTGAGTTTGTGACGTTCCCACCTCTTTGCAATTACACCCACCGAAAACCCCGTTTTTTTGGGTGGCTTCCCTGCTGGTTTTACAACATGCCTTTCGGACCTGCACTAGCCACCATCCGTCCAGCATTGAGCGGGTGCCTCAGTCACCTGACGAAAATATCTGTCTGATGAGTCGGTATATCTTAAAGCCTTCTTCCACGCCATATAGGTAAAGCTGTTTGACACCTAATCGGTCTCCGCCCGTGGGCAATGTTTGCGGCCCGAGGTCTCCTGCCGCAGTATGATGGGCCGTGAGCAACAGAACTCAGTATCGGCTGTTCCCCCACCTGGCTCTCTCACTGAACTTTCACGACGGGACAAAGCACATCCCGGGCCCACGCCCTGTCCACCTCCTGCTCCCCTCCTGCATTATTCCCTGGACTTATTGGTAGTGATATCGAGCGTACTGTTCACTCATCACCCTAAGATCCACACGAGAGCCTCGGGAGTCGTGTCCCCCTTCCGTGGATAGGAACACTCTCCAGTCCAGTCCGAAAGAGTCTGAGGAGCGCCCTTTCTCCTTCTCCCGGTGTCTCTGATGTCAGTTCCCTGGGACAAACGTCTTGACTCCGAACACTTCATGTCAGCGAGTTAGTTGACCTCCAGGACACCTCTGCTCTTAAGATCAGCGGCGATGAGGACCTTCCGAAAGAAGACATGAAAGAGAGAGGTTAAGTGTGGAACCTCAGAGTAAATACACCAGTAAGATCAACATGAAGCGGAGCACAGCCGCGTCGGCCCAACACACCTTGCCTGCAAAGTGAACCAATAAGCTGTATGGTTTGTCTGTATGACGCGTGAAATTTACGTGGAATAGAGCCAGTACCTTGAGGATTATGGTAGTCCCTGTACTGTGAAGATTGGAGATGGGAGGTAGTGGTTTGCGGGTATAGATCCCCCTATGCAGGGACTGTTATTGCTGGCTTTTGGGGAGATCTGGTTTATTCGCTCTTGATGGGGATGAAATGTTTGAGACTGTGTTTGACCGGGCCTTTATAACTATTGCGAATGACAGTTGAAAGACATGCTTTATAAGAAAGATCTTTTGGAATTTTAATGCCTGACCCATGAACGCCAAACATCTCTGGGCTGACCTGTCCGCAGAATAGATATTAATTCACTATTGGCTCTTACGGTTGAGTCCTCCCCCGGAGCATTCCTACTCCTCCTCACATTCGACCAAAGGCAACCGACCACGCACATTGTTAAGTTAACAAGGCCACTGCGAGCAGGGGATAGACTAAGCATGTCCAAGAAGTTGCGCATGGTAATAAATAATGAAGGCAAGATTTGCGCAGCACAAGCGAAGCGCATGTGTTGAAAAAGAGTTTATAGGAGCACCCCTACGGACAGAAGGATGCACCAAGGTTGCATTGGCACCTAGATGGAATAGATAGAAGAAGGAGCGCCTGCAGCAGAACTTTGAGACCAAGAGAAAGAAGAGGAACGGTGAGATGAGAAGATAGTGCGAAGAAGTTTAAAAATTTTCCACTTCTAGAAGAATATAGTTGCTCAAAAAGTACGTGAAGAAGGGAGTGCGCCCGCCTGGGACAAGAGTTGGAGTGTATAGAAAACAAGGAACGAAATTCGTTGGACATGATAACGTATTTTGGCTTTAGTAGAGGAAAAATGCTATAAGGAGTTGATGTACAAATTAAGTTATTTAAGTTTTTGGGCGTTATATTAGTGGATAAACCCTAAAGGTCTATAAATAATAAATAAGTCACAACCTAAAGTGACAGAACCTCATAGTGAAAGATGCAAAAGGATCTTGCTGTATGGATAATGAATGAACTCTAGGAATAGCCAAAAAGGGAGTTGTGAGGAGGTCGATGGTAAGACACACTAATGGGAAAAGTGATAGAAATATCGGGATAATTATTGGATTTCGCTCTTTCTTTGATTATTATTTTTTTGCTTTTGTTGATATGATTTTGGATGGTGAGGTTTTGTGTTTTCTCACACTCATTTTTTCCTCTTGTTTTATTCACTTGTAGGGATTTGTTTAATCCTTAATGGCTCACGTCTCTTTTCTTTTTCCTTATTTTTTGCATGTGCTAAGTTTCTAAATTCTTCAATGAATATATTACACATCTTTTTAAAACCCAAACAAAAGAAAGATGTTCATTTTAGTCTGTCAATCTCCTTGGCTATTCAGATAGCAGAATCTCATATATGATATAATATGTTGCATGTAAGACCTGCTTTTGTTGTAAGGTATGTTTCTCCAGAGGTACTTAATGCTGTTTTGAGACCATTATTCCTATTCTCGTTGTTGTTTTTTACATAGTACTATGCTATTTCATCCAAAAATACTTGCAAAGATCCACTTGATGGCGCCAAATATTGGCCACGCAGAGAATGCCATTTTAAGAGTGATTACAAAGTGCATCCATTTTGTGTGGCTTTTGGAAGGGCGGCGCTAGAGCTCTGGGTGATGCCAGAGCCCTGGCACCGCCTTCCCAAAGCCGGAAATCTAGTACTTGATTGCCCATCTTTGGGAAAGAGATAAGGGCTCTAGGACCCTGCCAAAGCTTGAATATTCCTTTCCAGAGCCAGACATCACCCAGCCCTAGTTGCAGCACTTTTCCTTTCTGACCTATGTTTATGTAGGATGCTTATTTTAGTCTGTTAATCTCTATGCATTTTCAAGTAGCGGAATGTCATATATGCCATAATACATTGCATGCAGGACCTGCTTTGGTTGTAGGGTATATTCCTCCTGAGGTACTTAAAAGTGTTTCTAGTCCATTATTCCTGTTCTCCTCCTTTTTACATAGTTCTATGCTATTTTAGTCATTCAGAAATCTGATGTGCTGCAAAATTGACAAGCTCCACTTGGGGGCGCCAAAAAGCTGCTGTCATTTTAGGAAAGATTAAAAAGTGCATCAGTGTTGTGTGGCCTTGGGAGGGTGGCACTAGGGCTCTGGAGGCAGCCCTGGCAATGCCTTCCTGAAGCCGGAAGTCTAGTAAGTGCTTGCCCACACAAAAGTGAGAAGATGCATGTTTGAGAAGATCCATTTGGGGGCG